AAGCTAGTAACAGTAGCAGAACCCTTTTGGGTGCTATATAGAACCATATACAGCACAATCAGAAGAACCGTTTCACAATAAAAAAAACATTTATTCAGGCCAAGGGTTTCTTGAGGGTTCATAGTTCCATATAGAACCATTTTCCTTACCCTTAAAGAACCATCTTTTTAAGTGTGAATGTTGATACGTTGTGAGGTTTAAGTATTAATTTAACCTAATCACACGGAGCTCGTGAACTGCTTTTAAATGAATTCGACGAACCAGAAGCAACCAAACAACCGTGTGCTGTGACATCACAACCGCAAATAACTGGGAGGCTGGTGCTCCGTGTTAAGAGTTCAAGCCTCAAGACAGAAACACATACATAGCCTTCTCATTAAAAAAAAAAGGCTCATACATCAGTTTATAGAAAACATTTGCAATTTTCATAATCGCAATATTGGACAGAAAAATCGCAATTAGATATTTCGCCAAAATCGTTCAGCCCTAGGCCATGGTAAGTGTATTAAGCATGATTACCCATCTCAGTTCCACTGGCTGATGCATCAGAACCTGCATACATGTATCAGTTCGCAAAATTAGGGGCTATCAGCATATTTTTGGAATTAAATTCCAAGCAGAAATTTAAAAAAAAGCTAGAAAAACAAGGGAGATTAAGGGAACGGGGAGAAATCTCCATGCCATATGGTAGTAAGCATTCGACTTAATGAGGCATACCACCACCCCCGATCCACACAGTCCAGCTATCTGCCAATATTTGAGATGTTTGGATTGTGAATAATCAAAGTAAACACTAACCAATGACTCTGCTTCTGAAGTGTTTTTTTAAGTGAATCAAGTAATTGTTTTGGCTTCATGGGAATAGAGTTTACTGAGTGCAATGTTTGAGCGTATGCCTGTGTGCCAACGATTGGAGGATGTATATACATCATTCTGAGGGCGCAAACAGGCCCACATATTATAATAATTAATTCAAAAATATTCTATAGCATGCCTGCCGGCCAAAACGTGCAACTGGTGCATGCATCTCATTTCAGGACATGTTCAACCCGGTTCCTGGGCACAGTACAAAAAGGGGTCTGTGCTCTGCAGGGCTGCATGCTACAGTCTGTGTGAGCAGGTAGCCACAGTCTGGCTCATATTTCCGGTCAGGGCACATTTCAACGTGACCCCACCGTGGGCCAAGTCTTGCGTTACAGGAAACTGTCCCCAGGTAGCTTCCTCCACTAGCGCCGGCCCAGATGTGTTCTACCCTTGGATTTATTAAATGCGATTAGTCTTTCCTTGAGGATTCGGGAAAAGCATTATTTCACACCGCGGCGCGCGTGATTGCTGAGACAGGTGGAGAGACGGCAGAAATTTACTGCCGTTTAATGTGAGGTACAGCACTCAATATTGCAGCACCTGCACATGCACACACACACATACACCCAAGGTAGATACAACGCACAGTATCGAATGGGGCTGCTGAGTGAAGGAACTGATAAAATCACTCCAGAGTCCTTCCCAACACCCCCGTGCCTAACGTCTAGCATACATAAGCAAGCGATCTCAATATGATCTGTTTTCAAGCACCAGCGAGTAGATCTGAAATCAGCGGGGAGAAAGGCTGCCAAGGCACGACTCGCACAGGAAAGGATTCCTCTCCGGCTCGGTGAGGAGCTGATAAACACAAGCGCTCCTGCCTCAAATGTGAAAGCAATCAAAACTCGCCCTGAAAAATGCTAAAGATGCTGTCAAGTTTGTTTCTTTTTAGCCTACAAAGTGGAAACAGTCGTAATTTGTCACTCACTGGGTTTGAGATCGTACGTGATGGTCTGGAACCCAAAGCAGACCCTTAAGTCATCACAGCTAACGCTAACAGGCCTATGATTGAATGAGGACAAGAGGAAGCTGACCCCTCAGGATAAGTCAAAACAGAGTGCAGGAACCATACTGAGCATCCTGACCTGGGACCATCTTGCTCAGCCAACATGCTGAACTTCATGCTGAAACAATCATCACATGAGGAACTGAACCCAAAACAGAGAGAAACACACTCGACCGAGCGGAGGAAACTACCACGCGCACACAGAGGGGTCATTCTCAGCCCAGCATGCCATAACGGGCCCTCCGCTGAATTGGGTCTGGTTATCAAACTAAACTCAAGACATCCACAGGACCTAGCAGGAAAACATACTGAGAACCGGAGACGACGGACTTCATGAGCACCACTCTTGGGATAACTTGGGAAACCGAAAAATAAATAAAAGGCAGTCTTTTCTTTCACTGTTATGTAAATAGTACACCACGCTATGCCGCAGATAAGGACTCCTCCCTACAGATGAGCCTTCAGAGGGAACGAAAAAAGTGGCTCAAGGAGAGGCAATAAAAAAAGCAGTATATTAAAATTCCCATTCTATAACTTGTGGTACTGTCTCCACACCAGATATGCATAGTATTCACAGGGAAACAGTCGACAGAAAACAGTGAAAAAAGAACATACGGTGCATGTCGCTGTTGTCAGAAGAAAACCTTGTATCTCCGACTACAACTTTACAGGAGAAGGAAAAAACTGACTTGACTTTTAATGTAAGTCAATGGAACCAGACTTTTTTCCAAGTCATTTTGGGCCTTTTCTTTTAGTCCATTCATCATGAAATTTCTATACAGTGTAAAGGGTAATAGACATTTTCAAATTATGTTAAAAATAAAAAAATGACAAAAATGGAGATACGAGGTCTTCTTCCGTCAACAGCGATACGGATTATAGACACTATGTCTGACATTCCTATTAATTCAGAATTTCCATCTAAATAAAAGTGAATAAAAGTCTACAGTGCCGATGTCACACAAAAAGAGAAGAAAATGACCTGTCAAATATTTAGGCCAGGCTTGGAGAGAAAGGAGCAGCCGTCAAATGCCATCTTCTGCCTCCCTGTGGATCGTAACCAGGAACCACAGTCGGTTTGGCGCTATGCACGTCAGTGTGTGGAACACAGTGTAACTCGGATTGTGTGGAGGCTGCAGCGGAGCTATGGCTAAAACAATCCTGTGGACTGTCAGAGTGTCCCGATTTGTTCCTTTGGGGCTTTGAGGAATGTAGTGGAACGAATAAAATCACATTCTAGAAACAGTGAAAAACCAACGGCGGTGGCGTGCGGCATGAAATGAGTTCTAAAGATGGTGTCGACTAATAATAACTGGCACGAAATAGTTTTACACAGAAAAGTAACCCAGATTTCTTCCATAGTTGACATTTTATCATTAGTGGCTACAAACCAAAGACCTTCGGTGTAGTACGAAGCAGGGTAGCTTAGAATAGTTGCTTCTGAAAAACTGACAGATCTTTTTCAGTGCTTGAACGTTCCTCCTTTCTAAATCCCTTCTGGTTTCTATATTCTTTCCTGATCTCAGTGTCAACGTATCTGTATTAGTGCAGCGCTGCTCTCAGTCTCTCACTCCAATTCCCCTTATAGGGAACCCACATTCCAAATTCCTCTGATCACTGACCAGCCGCCTTCTCCAAATATAAGCTAAATGAACCTGCAACACTGTGGAATTCCAGTATTTATCCGAACTATTTTTTCTGGAGGGCGTTTTTGGTGCAGATGCTTCTGTTGGAACCATATGATCTCTCAGACTTTTGAAGTTTGTGGTTCTTTTTGCGAGGAAAGAGGGAAAACATAAAAAGAAAACATGCCCCAGTTTCCCTTTCTGTTGCACAGAGGCAACAACAAGCTGAAGAAATAGATGGCCAAAATGATGCATGGTCACTAAGTTCATGGCAACGGTCTTAAGTCAACATTTAAAACAGCACAGAACATAATTTGCTATCAGCCAAGCAACACTTTCCTTCGCTGGTCTGTATTCAGAGATAACATCTGCAAAATCAAGTGCTGTATTTTGTACTCATAAGTAGACTCACTAGGTGAAATAAAAATGTTTGCACCATGTTATCAATCCAAGTAGGTGAAAGATGCACAAAGTAGATCTGAGTAAATCCTTACAGTGAGTCAAAATGTTGGCATATCCTTCTCTAATAATTTAATATGGGATTTAACTGCACAGCTGTCTTGTGATACTGATATACACCAATCAGGCATAACATTATGACCACCTCCTTGTTTCTACACTCGTTGTCCATTTTATCAGCTCCACTTACTATATAGGTGCACTTTGTAGTTCTACAGTTACAGACTGTAGTCCATCTGTTTCTCTGCATACATGTTAGCCCCCTTTTACCCTGTTCTTCAGTGGTCAGGACCCTCAAGGACCCCCACAGATCAGGTACTATTTGGGTGGTGGGTCATTCTCAGCACTGCAGTAACACTGACGTGGTGGTGGTGTGTTAGTGTGTGTTGTGAGGTGTTTTAAACACCTCAGTGTCACTGCTGGACTTAGAATAGTCCACCAACCAAAAATATCCAGCCAACAGCGTCCTTTGGGCAGCGTCCTGTGACCACTGATTAAGGACCAGAGGATGACCAACACAAACTGTGCAGCAGCAGATGAGCTATCGTCTCTGACTTTACATCTACAAGGTGGACTGACAAGGTAGGAGTGTCTAATAGAGTGGACAGTGAGTGGACACAGTCTTTAAAAACTCTAGCAGCACTGCTGTGTCTGATCCACTCGTACCAGCACAACACACACTAACACACCACCACCACGTCAGTGTTACTGCAGTGCTGAGAATGATCCACCACCCACATAGTACCTGCTCTGTGAGGGTCCATGGGGGTCCTGACCACTGAAGAACAGGGTAAAAGGGGGCTAACATGTATGCAGAGAAACAGATGGACTACAGTCTGTAACTGTAGAACTACAAAGTGCACCTATATAGTAAGTGGAGCTGATAAAATGGACAATGAGTGTAGAAACAAGGAGGTGGTCATAATGTTATGCCTGATCGGAGTATGTATAAATGATGTGGGCTACATCATAGTAATGTATGACTAGCTACTATTAAATACAGCTTAACGATCAATGCTGTATCAACATGCTGATATGATCCCTACCTCAAGGAAACAGGTCCCAGCGGCTGTGTTCTCCTTGATGGACACATTGTAGAAGCTGCTCCCAAAGACTGGCTCGTTGTCATTAATATCCTGTAGGTTGATTTCCACCAGGGCAGTGGAGGACAAGGGGGGCTTTCCTCTGTCCGTAGCCACTACCTTGATACTGGGCTTCGGGTAGGTCTCGTAATCCAGCTGGGTAGCCGTAGTGATGATCCCTGTCACAGGGTCGATGGTGAACCAATCAGAATGTGTGCCCTTGTCGGGCAAGATGCTGTAGCGAACGTCACCATTGGGGCCTTGGTCTTTATCTCGTGCTGTCACCTGTAACACAAAGCTACCTGGATAAACCACCTCTGGAATAGTCTGCTTGTATGCCTGCTGGTCAAACAAAGGAGGGTTATCGTTGATGTCTGTGACTTCGATTGTAAAGGACGACTCGGCTCGGAGTGGTGGGGTGCCGGAGTCTGTAGCCATGACACGGAGCTCGTACGAGTCTCTCTCTTCACGGTCCAGAACCTGGTCCACATAGATGAGGTAGATGATGCTGTCCTTGGTAGTGAGGGCAAATTTACCATCTCCGCCTTCCAGGGAGACATTGACGTTGGAATATTCACCGTAATCAGGGTCTGAGACTGAGATACGGGCAACATACTGACCAGGCTGGGCGCCCTCAGATATTCGTGGGGACCCATCTTCACTGAGGAAGATGATGGTCATAGTGGGCTGGTTGTCATTGTAGTCTCGGACATGGATTGTGACAAAGGCATTAGTGATCTCTGGGTGGCTGGCGTTGTCTCTCGCCTGCACTACCAGCTCATGGACCTTCCTTACTTCGTAGTCCAAAGGCTTATTGAGCGTGATAATTCCGGACCGAGGGTCAATGACAAAGTATCTGTCTGGGTCACTTTGTCGGCGGTTGATCTCATAAAGCACAAGGCCATTGTCGCCTTCATCTGCATCTGAGGCGAACACCTGAAGGATGTTGCTACCCTGGGGCAGGCTTTCAGAGATGATGGCATGGTATCTGCTCTGATTAAAAACAGGTGCATGGTCGTTTATATCCTGCACCGTCACATCAAGCGTCATCTGCCCAGTTTTCTTAGGAGATCCACCATCAAAGGCCTCCAGAAGCAAGGAGTAAGAAGCCCTCTTCTCCCGGTCTAGGACACCATTGACCACCAGGTCCAGGTAAAGGACTTTGTTTGCTGCCCTCTTGGTCTCCAGCCTGAACACTTGCCCTACATTGCCTTCTTTGATGAGATACCCCTGGGTGGTGAGCTGGTCTTTGTCTGCATCAGTGGCCGGCTCCAGGGAAAACTTGGTCCCCACTGCGGTCTGTTCAGGGATCTTCAGAGAGGCCTTCTTCTTGGGGAACACCGGTGCATGATCATTGATGTCATTCACAGTGATAGACACCTTCACTGTAAGGCCGGTCATAGTGACTGCTATAAAGCTGTAGTGATCCCTCTCCTCCCGGTCCAGCCGTCGAGCGGTCTTGATGATGCCAGTGGTCTCGTCAATATGGAGATCGCTCCCCACACCTGTGCCTTCGTGATCAGAGATGAAGTAGAGTGACGCGGTTTCTCCAGGCGGTAATCCAGCACTAATGTCACCCACTATTGTTCCTGCAGGCTGCTCTTCGTCCAACTGTAGCTCCAGGATGCCTGGCGTGGCGTTCGCATCGACAGTTACTGTTAACAACTCCACAGTCACAAACAAAAGCAGTAACATTCTTAGTTTCCAGCTTCCTTGCTTGTAAAACTGACTACATATGTTGTCCCCAGGGCCTTTGAATAACGTCATCGCGGCACAGTTTCTCTTACACCTGCAAGAAAAGAGACAAAACAGAAAACAGTTACACTAAGAAAACACCATGACATCTTTTAAAAGCACGCATATGTCAAACTCCACCGCTGAAGTCCATCAGGTGCTGGAATGCATGAGAGAGGTCTGGTGTGGATCATTCTGCCTTTTCCTTAGCGAGCAGAGGCGAGGAAAGGCTTTGGCCCAGCCCGGGACACTAAGACTGTAAGACTGTAAGCTCTCTTCCGTGTATCCTACCCACAGCTCTTCTCAAAACATAACACAATCCTCACGCTAATCACACATGGGCTACTCTTTTATACTTAATCTGCTAAGCTCGTCAGGAATGCATCAAGAATGGTAACAGTGCTACCTTGTATAAAGTGTTTTATAACTGCCCTAGTTGTGTATTTTACATAGCAGAATTTTCAAGGGCCGCTCCATCTTTGCTAGCAATATACTGTATGTTAAACAGCCCTCTGTAGTACGCTAAAGTATTTTTAGGATGATGAATAACTCGATTATTATAATATAATAGTCTGTATGTACATTCAGTAGAGTGGGTAGTATAACTACAGAGCATGACAGGAATGTGGCACAGATTTAATGATGTTTAAAGCCCTGGGCACAAGGCTGTAGGGAAAGACTCATTCATTCAACTCTCCGTGCTGCGATTTATTCAGGAGTGCTAACGTGAGGAATGTCCACTGAGTGTGGTCAATGCAACCCCAAAAAAGTCTGAAAGGGGAAAAAATACAGTTTTTAAAAGCTTTCAAAGAGATTTTAATTCTGGAAACTTTTTCCAAAATGAAGAAGAAAGTAAAGGTTATATGAGAGAGAGAGAGAGAGAGAGAGAGAGAGAGAGAGAGAGGAAACACAAAAGCAAGGCAGGAGTTTGGAGCAGTGTGTGTGCCTGTTTGGAGAGCAGCTCTGCTCCTGTCACATATGGGAATGCAGAACACTGAGAGCCACAGGTGGCCAGACTTACAGATGCTATTTCATCCAGAACTAAAAAAAACACTGCAGAGATTAGGCGGTTGTACAGCTTTGGCTGGAACTGCAAACCTCAGAGATCTGCCTATTCTGTGCTGGGGAGACTAGTTACTTGTCAGTGAAAGTGGGGGTTCTTCAGACCACGCTGGCGAAGCAGTGCGGACCATCATTGCAGACTGCAGTTATGGCTGGATTATGACTGCAATTTGTCCTTGTCAGTACTCTTTTAGAAAGTGTCCTTCCGAAACCCACAGAGACCAAAAAGGGAATAAAAAGAAAAATTGAATTTGGATTTCACTTTGATTTTTGCTCTGTTACTCCAGGAGATTCGACCGCATGGCTTCAGTTTTAAAGCATTACTCATGGCCACACTTTTACACTCCCTCTAGTGGTAAAATAGGAATTTAGGTGGGTAAAAGCAGGAAAGAGTGATTCTGAAAGAGAAAGAAAGAAGTATAAATGCATGTATTATTTCACTGATAATGTTTAGATTCTAATAATTACTCTCTCTCAATCCAAACATACAGTGCATACAGTACTGTGCAAAAATCAGAGACCACCCTTTCCTTTATTTAATTTCCAGTCAAAACAAGCAGCAGTTCTTCAGAGTCAGAAAACAGGCAGAAAACATATTCAACAGAAAATTCCACACAAGCGTCAAAGTCTACTGAGAATAATATCAAATCCGTCAGTATCGAAATGGTCCACTCTTTACTTTTCTGCACCGCACGGCCACTTTAACCATCCATCCTCTTCAAGTTTCATGAAAGCCACTATCCAAATACAACTTACCTGCCTTGCAATTCGTCCATCTAAAATGGTTAAAGGAGATTAGATATAACACAATCCACTGGCAAATGGAAGGAGAAAGTGCAACGAAATAAGCAATTAAATAAATAAGTTCAAAAAAAGTTAAAAAAATGATTAAAAGATGAGGAGGAAGTGGGATTTCTAACAACCCAATAGACCAACCTCCAAAACTGTCACCATAAAATAAAGAGTACTTAAAGCTTTCCTCTTTGAGGCATGGGAGGAAATCAAGATCCATAAAATCTCACTTCACATCTGAAAAAATCCAAAGGTTTTTCTGTCCATCCCCCACTGAGAGGACACAACTCAGTGCTATGGGGCTGAAATGATGTGTAGCTGTCAAGACGTCATTACTGAGAAAATAAAATGGACAAAAAAATTGTACAAGAACATCAAAACCGGACATCTGAGATGTGGAGTAAGATTTTATGAACTGAAAAATTTGTCTAAATCTAAACGTGTAATTTGGGATTGCAGCAGAACATGCAACCAAATTCTAAGACTGAACTTTGGAGGTGTTTACAAGAAGCATGGAAAAATACACCTGGGTCATTCCACAGAAACGTCCACTTTTCTGTCTATCCATAGGAGTCACTGGTGTTACTGATCCTCATTGGTGTTACACATAATAAAGGAAACACCAGAGACATTTTAATGAAGAACGCATTTTACAAAATGGCTGCTACAGAGCATCAAACCACACATTGTCAATCATGGAATATCCACTAAAATATGTAATTTAATCCATTTGTATTCTATTTTTTCACAATTACCTCAGAATAAAGTCGCTCATACCAGTGACATCAGCTAAAAGCTTCACATGAAATCATGAGCTAAATGAGAAAATCTGATAACTGAAAGACTCACCATGAGCTTTTCTTCAAAGATCCTCAGAAAATAGGGAAAAGGAAGTCAAGTGATGTCATCAGTGTGACATTTATTTCAAAATAAGGGATTTTTTTTATGTGGTAACACCAGTGACACGACTCCTGGGTAACTTTCATTATATATTTTATAATATTTATTTGGCATTTGTTTTCTTTGTCATTTAATTCCAATATTTCATAGCCATGTATAGATTATTGTAGTTAAAATTGCAGAAAAATGTGTTTTTTACCTCAAAATATGGCTTCAGCCTTCACACATGACTGTGGGGACGAGCTTTCTGTGGTGCTTGGAATTCTATATAATTAATTAAAAAAACAATATTGCTAAATTGAGGCTCAAGAAGGTGTGATTGTTAAAATAATGTACAAAATAAATAATAATAAATAGTAATAAATTGTAACTCCAACATGTTTTTCAAGTGTAATATATCTGTAAACGCTAAGGACACAAAAATGGACGTTTCTGTAGAATGACCCAGCTACAGATTTCTTTGTACAACAGAAAGCAAGTCTTCTGAAAAGAAGCTGTAATAAAGGCAAAAGGTGGACATCCTAAATATTAAAAGAATTCTAAGGGCCTTTGCACAGTACTGTATGTGCATATTTGTACAGTGATTATATGTATGTATGTGTGTGTGTGTGTGTGTGTGTGTGTGTGTGTGTGTGTATGCATGTTTGTGACTGTGTGCCTCATGGTTAATGTTACATATGATGAACCACACAGGCACAGATGACCAGTAAGGCTCCTTACAGTCTACCCCACATTACAATCTGGCTGTTGGAAACCCATTGCCAGCACATGTGACTACAGATACAATCTCAGCCTGTCATGGCTATATAGTCATATAAACATGTCCAGAACTTACAGAGACCTAAGGGACTATCTCCTGACCATCACTTCACCTCTCTGCATCCCCTGTCTCATGTAGGTACACATTAACATTCCCATTCATCACACAGTCTTCACGCTTGGGGATCTGCTCCCCAAGAGCTTGATGTACAGACCAATGTCAGATGTTTCAAGACATTTATGTGATCCGTCAAATATGAACTATATTGTTTTCAACATTGTCTTTAACCACAGCACATGAAGGGTCCTCTGGCACGTCTTAGGAAACAGCAATAAGGCATAAACGTTGGTGACACCACTAAATGAACTACAGCTAAGTCTCAAATCTGAAAAGTTTCTCTCTGCAACCAAAATGAAGCTGTGTCACCTGAACTTGGGGGGTTCAGGTAATAGCCCCCCCTGCAGGCCCCAGCTGGGGGTGCAGCAAGGCCAGTCTTCCTCTAATGCATGTAACAGACGCAGCAGAACACAAGCGCCAACAGAAGCCAAGTTAAACAGGCTCCAGAGTCGCAAAGGATCTCTCTGAACTGCCACACCGCCTCAACAATGTGTCTTATTCTTAAACTTAACGGCTTATTAAAATATATGGCAGGGACCCGGCTGTCTCTCCATCACACAGAATAAACAGAAGCCAGACTGAGTGATTGACAGTGGCGTCTGAGGAGAGCTAGCGGGGGGCTTTTCTGTTCTCCGCATTGCTACACGGTGGCACTCTAGAACTGCATTCGCCATCTTGGAACAGCTGGGAGCAAGATTTGTATTGTATGTCTAAAGAAGCACTCAGACTTTGTGATACGTTATTTTTGCATCTGTAGCATCTATACGCATTACCTTTATCCAAAACAGAGTCTGTAAACAATGTGAAGATGGAAGAAACCGATGAGCATCTTGACTGGAAAGTTCTTACGATACGATTCCATCACCCATGGTGCTTGGACCCCTAGTAATCAACTTTACAGTGCAATAGTCTACATAAGTGTAGAAGTATAGAAAGTCAGCACATTAAACTTCTGCTGCCGATAAGCTACGCAAACCTTTGCAGTTCCAGCATGAAAGTACAGAAGATCTAGGAGCTCTAAGCCTTAAACCACTGCAGATGTCTCAGTCTCCAGCACAAACCCATAAACTCCTATTTTGTCCGTGTTTTTTCCCCTCATAGTTTCAGGGTGTTCTTCCCCAAGCATGCAGCGTGCAGATGATTAGGCCAGTATTAATGATTAAAAACACTTAAACCCATAATGCTTCAAATAATCATATTTTTTGCTCATGAAATGTTGGAGGTTTTATTTTTCAGGATGCTGACTTGCTGCATAGTTCCCTGCACTGAATGGGTAAGGAATGCACTCCTACTCAGTTTCCAGGACTTAGACAACCACAATGCCCAAGCCTTCTGCATATAGCCATCCAGCTGTCATCAAGGAGTTAGCTTTGGGAAGAAGGTGGTAGACGGGTCTCGGCAAGCAACAGCTTTTACGAATGAGC